GACATCATAACACAACCCATACAGTGATAAGATGATATGAATAAATAAAACGTAACAATGCCTTTTGAACAAGACCAACACGAGGCTATTCAAATCAACCTTGGGACAGATGTCTCTATGGGAGACCCGCTAAACCCCCAAATCATTCCTAGTTCTTCTATGGGTTTGTGGCAATAAATTAAAGTACCTTTGAGCTTGAAAAACATTCTTTAGGAATCATTAATTAATACTAAAAGTCCAAATCTGATAGTCCTTAAATTTTCATTCAGTTCCTACTAGGGCTGACAAATGACTAAAAAAATTAATTGCAATTGTGCAATTAAAATTGTGATCAGTTAAATAATAGTCAGCCCCCATCCACCCAACACCCTGGAGCCCATGCTCCCTGCGGCTCCTCCCCACCACCAACAACAATCCACAGCCCCAACCCTGCCCCGGCCCGCCCCACACCTGCTCCAGACTCATCCCAGTCGGAGTGGACCAGCCACAACCCGTGCAAACAGCCCTGACCCTGGCCCTCCCTGTACCTGCTCCAGACTCACCTGCCCACATTGAGTAGTGACAGCAGCCAGGCAGAAGCTGCTGCTCAGCACAGAGGAAAAGCTCCTCCTCACTGCAGCAGGGCCCTTCTTGCTGCAGCCGCCTGGAGCCTGTGCCCAGGCTGCCCTGTGGCTCTTCTGCACTGCCACCATTGCCCCACTGGGCAGCCCGGAGACAGCAGTGGTGGCAGTGGAGAGGAGCCACAGGGAAGCCCGAGCATGGGCTCTGGGTGGCTCCAGCAAGAAGGCCCCAGCAGTGATGAGGGGGAAGGGCCACTTTTCTGTATGCCAAGTAACAGCTTCTACCCGGCCACTGCTGCTGCTGTCACTGTTCAGCCTGGGCAGGTGTGTCTGTAGTAGGCATGGGGCAAGCCAGGGTCAGGGCTGTGCACATGGGTCCACTAGTCAAAATGATGTGCACAATTAATGCAGTTTTAAAAATGAATGTGTTAATTTGTTTTTGCTTTAATTGTGTAAGTTAACTGTGATTAATTGACAGCCCTAGTTCCTATTCAGTAAACACTCACAGATACCAGTGGGAGTCTAAGTATTGTGTAAACACTGATTGAGGATTTTGGCCAAACAAAGACCACTAAACAGAAATACAGGAATTCTAGATTGCAAATTCCTGTAAGTGAATCCAACATTTCAAAAATGAAAAAAATGCTGTAAACGGTGTGCTACATCTATCCCTCTTATACAGAGTGTACTTACTCCTGCATGTTATATGCATATACGTATTCATATGAATGGGCTGTACTATTCACCCTTTAGAAAGCTGTTTTTATCAAATAGTCCTGTTGGACTGTGCATGGAACTTTATAGGCCAAATGTTTTGGTGGCAGTACTCTATTGTAATTGACAATTGAAACAGTAGGAAGTATAGCCATGCATCTTCAAATCACGTGTAGATAAAGTGTGTTGTTTGTGTGTGGTTGGAATCATGGTCCCTATGAGACTGTCTGCCTATGACATGCAGCTCCTGTATCAACTTCGAACTACAATACTTTAAAGTCCCCAGTGTAATTGCTCTGATTACCCCAGCACTTCATATAACACCTAAAAGGCTGGGTTCTCCAGGATGATGTTACAATGAGTAAATTAAGTGGAACAATATATTGATTTTCAGGCTTTCAACCTAATTCCTTTGTCATATTCAGATTATTTAGAAAGAACAGATGCACTCAGCTATATTTAAAGGAAGGTTACTATTACAGCAATGAAGTTATTCACAGTGTTGTTTAATGCACAATATCTAAACAACTGAGATGATTATGCTGAAAGTCAGTGTGCATAGTAGTAGGTTGGATTCATCCTTTTAAAATACATACAATGCTCCAAGCCCAGCCCCTTTTCAAGCAGAGTTGATTTGAAATTGCTACACTGCCTTGCAGTGTTTCAATTTGTCTGTACAGCTTTAAAGTTTTTCATTAATTGGAGGTTTTCTCCTTGGAGCAAAGGTCTGGGTCAAGAACCAGTAAGTAATTCAAGGAAAATGCCAGTGTCATGCCAGTACTTAGTGAGGGATCATTTAACCGTCTGTTTGCATTTAGCACGTTGGGATGGAAAACAGATGGATGAAACCTAAACTAGTGTAACTTGTACCAATAAAGTTTTATCCTAGATTCTTTCAGGGGTAATTCTCTACTGTATCAGGTGGTGTTATCCCAGTTCAGTGGTTTGCATTATCTGTCCATGACTTCATACCAATGTGGACATTTTGCCTTTCCACTCTATTGTAGGCCTTGGCAGATAAGACAAGCCCAAAAAAGAACTCCCACTGGAAATTCATGGACAAGATGAAAAAATTTGTTCTCACCCACAAATAGGAATGAATAAATCAGGTCTTCATAGCCCCTGCTTGAGCATAAGTCTGTCGCTATTTCAGACAGAATAGAAAAAAATACAGGCTTCTCCAGCCATTTAATTAATGTCTAGAGGAAAAAAATGATATAATTAAGTTAATAACTATCCATACAATACCGGCATAGAAAAGAGTAACTTTATCCAGAAGTAATATATTGAAGTTAAAAATGTTAAAACTGATTTTTCTTTCAAGGCCAGATCTTCCTCAGATGCTATTAGCAACTCCAAATTATATTTATAGCAACCAAGTTTTGCCCATTGCATCCAAGCAGGCTGTCATTAGTTATGCTTTCATTCTAACTATAAAGGTATAAAATATCAGTGCTTGCGAAAAGTAGGGAGATTTGTAGCTTCCAGTACACAATAGAACCTTGTTCCTATTATCTGTTATCTGTGGTGCAACAGTGTCAGTAGTCCATGTGCATTAGATAGCATACAACTAAACAAGTAATAATTTATAGAACATAAAACATCAGAAATGTATGCAGATGTCTCTAACCTATGTCTAACAGCTCATTTTGCTAGAACCTGGCCCGTGGATCTCTAGATCTAGTCATTGCCCAAATATAATGAGAAAACCAATCTGAATATACAAAGTTTAGAATGTTTGAATTAATGTGAAAGGACAATGCATCTATTTGACTTTCTCAGTCTTTGGAATTCTCACTGAGCATTTTTTACCATTGTGTTCTATGAAGAATTGTTCTTTTATTCAGCCTTCCCATTTTTCAAACAATTAAAGTACGTCCCCTTCCCCCATCTTTCATTTGCCTCATACAATTTTTTTGTTTGTTTGAACAGAGCTAGAAAATTAAATTCAGGTAGAAAGTAGATTTAGAAGAAACTGTCTAGTTTTCATTTGAGGGATTTCATTAGAGTGTTTTTCCACAGGGTTTGTGTCAGGCAATTAATATCTATTAAAATGCAGATATTTGGGGTCAAGAAAAGGGTGTTAGCAGCTATTTCCATAACCTGTGTGTCTCAATATATAACATATACACACTTGGCTGTATGTACTTTAATATAGGACTTGACCCTGCAATCCTGTATAATGAGTAATTTTTACTGATATGTATCCGCGTGAAGTCATTGAGATAACTCATGTGAGAACACTTATCCAGGAGGCCTAATGGATTACAGGATCAGGCTCTTATTTATGGACATAATGTAAATTTATACAAGGATATATGTAAACATTCTGCCAGAAATCTTCAGTAAAAATGAATACATTTATGACTAGAGATTTGCTAAACCTTGTACAAAACCTGTGCAAATGCATATTTTGTAAAATCTTTCTTAGCACGTCATCATATGGTAGGGTGAGTAGCAAACTGTAAAGAATTAGTAATGCTTTTTTCTGTGCATGTGCTCACAAACATGTAGATAGACTGTAGGCGGCACTACACTTAGAGATTAAAGGAAAAATGGGTGGGCCATAGGGAGGTAGCTAATCAGTAGTGCAGGTGGTTCAGGTAGCTGCTTTTCACACAGATAATTAATGTGTACAAGTAGCTGCTAATTGTACATTTCAGGAATGATTTATGAGGTGGCAGAGGGGAGAGAGGGACACAATCTAATTTCTTTCGGAACCTCGGCCATTCATACAATGGTATCAGCACAGCTGTGAGATGGGACATGATTAATGAACAGTGGGTAAACACACAGCCCTCATACAGGGTCCTGTTTTGATGACATGCTTGTCAAAATAAAAAGTGGCACTTACTCAGAGCAATGGTCAGTTAACAGTGCAGATTACGAGCTTTTTTACCCACTAATTCACTTGTACGTCAGACATAACACCAACTCTGGTTCTGAAATAAGGTTGTTTATGGCCATCAGAATGGTTATTGGTTTAACATAGACTGTTATCATTGACTTTTATGAACAGGTTTGTGTTGATGAACAAAAGATTACAGGTATTTATTTTCTTTGTAGTTGTATAAAGGAAAACACATTTGGCAAGGGCTGATATATTTACATAGCACATTAAACCTAGACTTACAAATGTGCCTGTTAAATATCTGCCATCATTTATCTTATCATTTATCTTAGCTGCCCTTTTAGAACACAATTCTAGATATTCTCAGACATGCACCACCCAAAAGTAGGTTTCAAAAATACTCTTTGCCTTGGTTTGAGAGAAATGATTTTGCACATCCTTGTGTTTATTCTGCCTTCTTACCTGGCCAGAGATATCTAATATTGCATTTTTACTGACACTTTGTAAATGTAATTAGGCTACCATTTACCTGCTAAGATATTTATCTCAGAGAAGATTGCTAATGAAATTAGAAATATCTGAACATCCTGAGATAGTAAATATACAATGCAGATCCTCTATAGCTCTGTTTAAAAAGTAAAAGTTCCCTGTTTCACACAGAGATACCAAAGAATGCTTTTAACAACAATATTAAAGTATTTTACATGGACTTTGTATTGAAATTTTGTCTATTTAATGTATGCTTTAATTAAGCTATACAATCAAAGCCTGTGATTGTTTAAAAAAGAATCAGTGTTATGAATTGATATGAAAAAATCTTTAAATTATAACACATCAATAAAAAAGACAAGTAAAATTCAATTTTATTTTTTTCAGCTTTTAGAATTTGACAGAGAGCTGTCAGTTTTTAAAGACAGATTGTATGAACTGGACATCTCATTTCCTCCCAGGTAAGATATGTACACAGTGAATTTATTTAATTAGATACCTAAATTGTAGTTTTAGTTAATGCTATGGAGTGTGTGAGAGAGAGAGAGAATATAATCATGATTTGTTCCCTTCATAAATTGTTACAGTTCTTCCTATATTCCTTCAAGTACTAATATATACAGTGACATCTTGCAGACACCAATGCTAATAGTGTTCTCCTGTATGTAAAAATCCTAACTACTAGATTCAGCTGGTCCTAGATGTGTGTTTGAAATAAAACTGATGACAGTAGCACACTGGAGTCTCTTGTTACTGTATATCTGTTCATAGATCTTCAGTTTATAGCTGATTTGGTACACAAAACTTGTGACTGGATTGGGAATTAGTGTAACAGCAGCAACAGCAAAACACAAGCTTTGTTTCAAATCTTTGAAGGATATCCCTAACAGGTGAAATTGGCACAACATAGAATATGACTTGAACAAAAGATGGAACTGGATAATCAAATTTCTTTGACCACACTAAGTTAAAAGTGAAATAGCCTAAAAAATAAATTATATTTTTCAGTTTTAATAAATACGTTATTATAATAATCGCAATATAATTTGCTTTTCAAATATGGAATTTTTAAGCTGATTTGGTCCCCATAGCTGAATTTTTAACAAGATTAGACACGTAACAAAAACGAGATGGTTATCAGATTATGGGTCTGTCCCTTTTTTAAAATCTGTCACCCTATTCTAAGTAGCTCTCAGGTTTCTTGCGGGGTGGGGGAGTTAGGAAAAAGGAATACAGATTTGAGGAGAAAAAAACTTGAATTGAGTTATAAGAAGCCATGGATAAGAGAGTCCTGTTAAATCAAATATAGCATTGCAGTTTTGTATAGCTTAGTATAGTGTTGAATGTATTGTTGTGTTGCTATTCTTTCCTGTGGGGGTAGACAAAAATATTACCCGTGTTTTAGTACCGAGGGAAAAAATTTGAAAAGCTTGCCTTTTCACTGCCATAATCTTGTTACATCTCAACAGCCAGATGCGATACCGATTCTATTGATCCCTGGAGACAATGGAAGTATGCATGAAGAGGTTACCACTGCTCTAAATAGTTCTTATTGATTGAGTATGATAACAGAAGACCAGCAGTGTGTAAATCTCCAAGTGTATTTCATTAGCTCTGTAACGGTCAAGGCGGGAGAGGGAAAATGAATGTGTTACTAAGGACTAGACCACCACTAAATTTTACCAATCTTAGCACTTACTTAAAAGAAATTTTCATTTGCTTAATTATTAATGAGAACTATCGGTGTAAGATCAGTTTATCTGATAACATCTAACATTTATTATATTATTTTGAGGTATGACATAATTTTAAAATATACTACTAAAAATATACATGTTAGTACTTCAGCTGTTATCACCAATCGCATTGACATAACCATATTACTATGCTGCTATTAGGAACTTAGCCCCTGGCATCCAAAGCAGGTAATATGACACCTTATTAAAGGTGGTGATAATAGTATCCCCTTTCATTAAAATTGACATCAGTTGCTATTTAAAAAGTTGCTGTTTCTGCTTGTTTATAACTTTGCCAAACACTTACCATTTGGATGTGGATGTTTTGTGATGAGTGATTGAGTTAAGCAGAGGGTTTTTGGAAAATTTTAGCCAAAACATTGAGCCGTTTGAAAAAAACAAGACTGGCAAGGAAATATAGACTGCTTGCAGAAGTTAAAAAAAAAAAAAAAAAAAAAAAAAAAAACCCAAAAAATCCACGCTTTACTGGAAGAAGCAGCTTATTATTTTGACCCAGCTCCATAGCATCTGTATAGATTGGGCACTTCAGCGGGGGGTGTTTGGTGCTTTTATCTAACAGCTGATTCAATGGAGAACTTGATTTTTAGCTGCTAAATTCTGAGAAGATTTAATTTGCAATGAGCTTGATCCAGGATTTTTCCAGTAACTATAACTGTAGTTCTGGGCTGCTCTGGGCTTATTAGGTCAGTGCAGGCACCTGAAATGAGAGCAAGGAAACCATCTGTCCCTTATGTTCAGTGACCTAAGGTGGCACTTCATTCTAGCATTTCCTAATTTCTGAATGCTTGTCTTTGCAATCTCTGGTGTCCTTATAACAGCTGTGTGTGTGAAAAGTATAGTAACTCCTGTCAAATGAGGTAACCAGCAAAATTGTACTTGAACTAGCTTTGTCTTGACTAGGAGTGTGAAAACAAACTGTTAAACTGTTAGACATTTCTGCTACCATTTAGTCAGTTCAACAGTTGAAGCTGTAGAAACCGTAGCTGAAGACAGAGATGTGTTTTGAGCGGGTAGAACTAACTGGAGTAATAGTGGGGAAATCATTCCTTACATCAAGTTTATATACCAATGTAAATTTCATCAGGATCACAAACAGACAGGTGTGCAATTCTCCCAGCGTGGTAGACACTGGTATTGCACCTTGCAACTACTTGGCAAGGGTTTGCATTTACAATGGTTACCCTGGAATAGAAGTGAGCAAGCATACCCTAAACTAATGTCACATGCTAGGTGTGTGCGAAATGGGATGTATTTGATTTGGATTTCACCCGAATCAGGGACAGTGATTCTACTCGTTGATTCAGATCACTGTTCCCGATTCAACACGGCTAAATTTGAATCTGAAGATTCAATGCTGATTCAGAGAATAAGCGATTTGGCCATAGACACAGCTTTAAATGTTCTTTGCACATACCTTGAGGTACCAGATGAGGCTTGTGAATGCTGTGATGGTGGGGCAGATGAAGCATCCCACAGAAGAATGGGGGGGCTCCCCGCAGTGCTCGGCAGCAAACCCAGAAGTGGACCAGAAGAACTTCCGGTTCACTTCCGGGTCCGCTGGGGAGAGTGCTGCCCCCCTCCCCGTATCCCCCTGGCTCAGCAGTCTGCCACAGGGGGACCCCAGGTGCCTTCCAGACCCAGGAGGCACCAGTTGCCCAGCCAGACCCAGAGGCGGACTGGAAGTGCTTCTGGTCCACTTCCAGGTCTGCTGCCGAGCACACTAGGGAGCCCCCGCACTCCTGTGGGACGCTCCATGCACTGCAGCATTCACGAGCCACCTGGTACCTTGAGGTATGTAGAAAAAACATTTAAAGCTGTGTCTATGTCCTAATCTCCAGATATTTCTGAATCTCTCTGAATCGATTCAGAGGGTTCCTATTCGATTCAGAGAGATTAGAGGGTCTCCTGATTCGGTTTGGATTCGGAGAGTCGTCCACTAAATTGGGCCGAATCGAATCAGGGGCCTAAGCTTCATGCAGCCCTAATGTGTACCAATAGAATTTTCCCCATGATTCTTTGAGGAATGACTCTCCACCCAATTTGTCAAAGTTTAGGGTTTTGAATACTCTTAGTTCCCGGGCATATCTGTTGAGATGCTTAGTATCTAAATACCGAGGCACAAAACAGTTAAAATATACAAATAATACAATGTTTGTATATTGTACAATAATACAATATTTGTATATACAAATATACAAATGTATTACTTTGATGCCAATTATATAAACACAACATTAGTAGGAACAAAAAAAGTTAATAAAAAGATTAGACTGGAGATGACCCAAAGGCCCAACATATAAATCTGTATTATGAATTTAATATCCAAATGTCTTTCCCTTCCCTTGCAACAGCTGAGACATCCATAGAATCTAGGGTTTAATTTTGTTTTTTAGGCTCACTCCAGAGGTCATATGGACATAATATAAAATTCCTTTGGATTTGCAAAAGCAAAATGAAGGTGGTCAAGATCCAAGTTCTATTTTATCTGAGCTGTCAGATTTGGTGAATTCAGATTAAATGTTTCAGCTCTAGCCCCTCTACCAGGAAGACTTCCCTTTGCCAGAAACAAATTAAAAACTGATACTGCATATTACATTAACTATTTTAGGAATATTGGAATATCACACATGCCCTGCCCAAAGCAAAACTGATGTTTAGAGTGTTCCCCCACCTCTTCTCCCAATTTGTTCTTTTTATTTTATTTTAAAGTTCAGGAGCATATGACAAAAGAATCCCACCTAAGTGGTGAATAACAAAGATTTAATACTATAATATTTTTGTAGTTGTTAAAGAATAGAAGTCTTACCTTGGGGATATCTGAGTAAGGAGAACCAGGTTGGATCCCATATTCTTAGAACTACTACAGACAAAACCCACCTAGTTTCACTTATGCAATTAAACACATTGATTTCAATTAGGCTGTTGTTATTGTTGTTATTGTTGTTTATTTTTGGTATTTCAGTAGTTTTCAAAATATGCCAGACACAGAAAAAACAGAAGTGTTGATCAGCAAAAAGCAAAATTTGATGAATCATAATTTGTTTTGGCTAAGGACCTATTCAGTCAACCAAGAATTAAATGCTTTATTTTAATTAGCAGTTTTCCCTCTATTTTTTCTCTGTGTTGTTTTTCCTCTTCTGAAATAATAATTTTTGTTCTATATTTAATGACTTGGCCACTTCTTAAGATCTTGATGGTAGATGTAATGATTAGGTGTACTGTGATAATTGAGTCACATTTGCGTGTAATTTTTATTAGATTTTTATTAACCAAGAAATGGTGGAAACACTGCTGTAAGTTTTGAACCTGCTATTTTAAGCTTCTTAGAATGCTTAGCTGAAAGGTGTATGGCACATCACTTTGTTCTACAAACGTAACAAAGGCTTTCTTCACTGGGGAGTGAGAGAAAGATCTAAAGACACTTTTTGTGTTAGGCTTATGTGCTTAATAAATGAATATTTGAATTGTAAAGGAAGTTGTAAAAGATTGTAAAGATAGCATTAAACAGAAATTTCTATTTTTTCTAGTTTACAAATCCACATTAATATTTACAATAATGAATACTTGAATAGAAAACTTTGGTATGTATGAAGTTAAAGTAGGACTTGTTAGATCAAAAATCCAGTGGTGTAATTTCAGCATTCTCTTTGTATTTCATCCTTTTCATGCTGAGGTACTTTGCCTATACAGTATTTCTTTACATA